CAACAAAAAGATACCCAATACAATTATTGTGTCCGCGTAAAATCTCATAAAAATATATGCATGCCAGTAAGGAATAGATAAAATTTGATTTTTGACTATAGGTAAACGCATCAAATCCAATAAAGAAAAGAAAAAAAAAAGATTAGATTGATCCGGCGGTTTCATCAGGCTCATGATTCAGCGTCAATAGAAGAAACGACATCGTATAGAAATCGGAATTGAGAGAGAGAGAACTCACCGGAGCTTCCAATGGCGAAGAAAATGAATGATGATAATGAAAGAGGAATCAATCTTGGAATTGAATATAGCGTAAATATAACGTTACTTTCGGGGCCTCCTCTGTTCGTTCCTCTGATCAATGGTGTCACCTCTCTCTCTCTCTCTTTCTTAGAGATAAACAAATGATGCAGAGAGAGAGAAAGCAACGTGCATTGTATGCATAGATAAATCGATGAACCCTAGGATATGAAGAGGAGAGAGAGAGGGAATTTTTTTTGGTTGTTCGGTGATCAGAAACAGAGAGAGACAGAGAGTAGAGGGGGAAGTGTGAATTGCGTAAAGAGGGTTCACCGAAAGGGTCCGAAGTTGGGGCTATCGAACCAGACCGCCTCTTTATATTCAGCGTTATTTCATAAGAATTTAAGATGAGTTGTAGGTAGTACTTATATATAGAAGAATAAGGAAAAATTTTACTATGGGTGAGGCCCAACCAACCAAAGTTGGAAGAGGCTCCACCCATTTTTTGACATGTGGATCGTGGGGCCCAAATTATTAGTTAAGGCTAAAAAATGAAACCAAAAGTTGGCCCAACCAACCAAAGTTGGAAGAGGCTCCACCCATTTTTTGACATGTGGATCGTGGGGCCCAAATTATTAGTTAAGGCTAAAAAATGAAACCAAAAGTTGGCCCAACCAACCAAAGTTGGAAGAGGCTCCACCCATTTTTTGACATGTGGATCGTGGGGCCCAAATTATTAGTTAAGGCTAAAAAATGAAACCAAAAGTTGGCCCAACCAACCAAAGTTGGAAGAGGCTCCACCCATTTTTTTTTTAATCTTTTCTTATACTTCTTTCTTTCTTACTTGCATTTTCTTTGTTTGCTTGCCAACTCTCTTTGTAATTTTATTTTAATAGAAAGAAACTTTAGAACTCATCGACAGATATATATATACATATATATATATATATAATATAATAATAATATATCAGATGAAATTAAATTATTATTTTTTAAATAAATTCAAAGAGATTGAAGATAGTGAAACTAAAATAAATAAATTGACTCACAAAAATGTAAAAATTCATATAATCAACCAATTGAGCTACTAAAATTCATTCGGTATTATTTATTACAAAATTCACAATTTAATTTTAATTATTTAAATTTTAGTCATTAATTTAATTTTTGAGATTTTCAATTTTAACCACCCAATTCTTAATTGCCTTGTAACTCTTCTTAATACACTCTATTTTAATTATCTAAAATAAATAATAATTCCGAAAAAATATTTTAAATAATATGAGACGGAGGGACCACAAGTTTGTATAGAACCTTTTCTCAATTAATAAATGCTAACATAATGTACATTCTCACTAGTCACTACGATAAATAATTTAACTAATGAAATAATTTATATTTTGTGTAAATGAAACGCAACATGATAAAATTAACCAACAATCATTTAATGAGATTTTCGAGTTTTCAAAACAAACGATATCACTTTCTTTTTTTCCGCTCTTTTTTCATATTGTCCTCCATTTCTTCACCCCATTGCTTTAGTAGCATTAAAGGGTTTATTTAATAGGTGATTAGAATTATGCATGTCTTCAATTTGGTATTTGACGTTAATAGTAAATTAGTTTGAAGACAATAAAAAATACACAAATCTTATCTTATCTTGTAATATAGAACTATTTTTAAAAGTAACGCGAGTTTAAAGAAAATAGAGTGTAAACAAATTTCAATATAAGAATAATATTTTTAATAGATATTCAATTCAACACGTTAAATAAATGTGGATATAAAATAGAAAATAAAAATATTGATCAACTAATAATATGACTTTTTATTCCCTTGCACTTTTTCACTTTCAATATAATATTTTAATTTATTTAATTAAAGTTGACATGGACCCCACAATTATCTTGCAATTCCCACTCAAACTTTACATTCTCTCTCCTTTTGGTTTCATTTTTTAGCCTTAACTAATAATTTGGGCCCCACGATCCACATGTCAAAAAATGGGTGGAGCCTCTTCCAACTTTGGTTGGTTGGGCCTCACCCATAGTAAAATTTTTCAAGAATAAGCTAATAAAAAAGTACTATAAATAACTTTTGAATAAATTAATCATTTTAATTGAGCTAAATTTAATCTAACTTGTCCATATAACACCCTTAAACTCGAATGTCACAAGCAAAATAATTGTGGCTCATCTTTTTAAAGAAAATAAAATACTAAGTGTGAAGCTCAAAGGGAATGGAGATCCAAGATATATTTTTTCTAAATTGTTAGTATCACTTGTCAATCACATTTGGCAAAGTGTCTTATTTATTCAATGATCTAATCAAAAGCAGCAGAATTATCCGCAGTGAAAGTGATAATGGACATTTGAAGTTATACCATGTAATATTTAATAAATATATCAGGCTAGATATTATAAAAATCATTTTTGGTGTATAAAGTCGGATAATTTTTTTACATAAAAATTTAAATGTCACATTATAAGTATACCTTATTCAAATTAATGGATATCAAAATATTGAATCAGCTTCTGCTTATACGCGCTTCAAACTTAAAAGAACCTTTTTGATACACATCATAAGCATATACCAATAACGACATAAAAGAAAAATAAAGCAAGAATCTTTTTATTTTCTCATTATTTAATGACTTTATATTTAAATTTTGTGTCCCACTTAAATTTGTAGTATTCCAATAGTTCCTTCTTGATGAATGTCCTTTCAATATTTGTCTCTTTGACCATCTTTTTAAATTGAAAACTTTTCTAAAAAAAAATATAAACAAATAATTAACAAAAGGCTGCCTTTTATTGAGAACTTTTTGTGTCATGGTGCTTCTATTAACCAAATTCCTTCAAAAAAAAAATCCAAATGTTCCTACCAAAAATTATTCTAACTTTTCACCAAAAGAAAAAAATATCATAAAGCTTAATTATATGATCTTTTCCTAAGTTTGAAGTTTGCCTAAAAGTGATCACATATTTTACTCATTTGGTTCAAAGTGAAAGATACAGATAAGAACACATACATGCAAAATAATAAAAATAAATCTATTCCATATATTTTTACAATATGAACTCCACAATAAGTCAATTTTCTTCTTATTTAAAAGAACTAGCTTGGTTCTTGCTGAACCATTGAAGTATGAAAATTATAAATGGTACTTATATATTTTTTTAATTTCTCATTCGATTCAATCACTTATATATTGAAATTCGATTAATCTGGTTTCCCGCCATGTATAGCCCATTCGGAAGGAACTCTTCCTATTGAGAAATTTTTTTATATTCAAAACTCGAAACTAAAATTTGTAATTATAGGAGGACTGCATAAATGCTATCAATTTGTTAACGTCATCTATTATTTAAAGGTTGGATGAATAAAACGTTGTGTCAAACAAAGTTCACTAGTAGGGACAACTTTATGTGCATAGTTATATATTGACAAGTCATTTTTGTTTGTTTAGACAATATTTCACAATAAGTTTATTCTATATTTGATATGATTGATTATATTCCTAGTTGTTTTTTTCTTCCTATCCATCAAACTAATAAATCAATTATTCTTTTCATTTTCTCTCAAAAGTTCCATAATTTTTTTTCTAGTGGCGAGCTCTTGGGTCATCCGAATTCATATCTGATAGAAATGATAGCTTGGTTATCCCCATACCCCTTATATCATGTGTGTATGTAGAAGCAGTTTGTGCTAGATTTTTTTAAAACAAAAGTAGCATCTCTAACAATTTCCTTGTTCCCTTCAACGTGACTCAAGCATTTGATTTGAGCAACTAAAAAAAAAAGACTGAGAAATTAAAGCAATGTTAAATTATTCATTCTATTAAATTAAAGATTAAGAAAACATATTTTAATTTCTCTCCATATGATTCACTAATCATAAATAAATAAACTTTGAAAATAAAAGGAGCAAGTGCATGATCATAATGATCACCAACTACTTTGATGCAAATTAAATTACTCTCTTTGTAAGTAATATATGTGGTTTTGATTGAATTTGTATAAACACATGCAACAAATATAGGTGGGGCAAACTTTAACTTTAACATTTAATAATGAAAGTGAAATATCCCCAGTGGAGTCGGTTGGAATTTATTTTTAGCCAAATGAAATTAGAAAAAAGCTACCAACTTTTGCACACATTATACAAGCAGGATTGATTCTTCAAGTTTCCTCTATCTCTATCTCTTTTCAACAATATGGATTTAATTCTGTATGGGCCACCAAACCTTGAGATGCTTCATTTTGTTTTGTCTTTTTTTAATCATCACTATATTTGAAATTTACTAATTTGATTGAATTAATTCAAATTCACGTCCCCAAGATAGATTTTAGTGTTTCCTCTTTCTATTGGTAGGAGCTTCATTCTCACACGAAATTTCTAATTAAAGGTGAAGAATAATTGAGAATATATATTTCTTGTAAAGATGGTGATTAATGATTACTCGTAGTAGACTCCTTCACTGAGAAATTAACTCACAAGGAATATTAACAAAATTGGTTAAATGGATGATAATGAGGCCAGTTGTTGAAAAGATTGATTCGTATCCAAGTTATATAAAGAGGCAGTTGAGAAATATGTGAACAAAATTGGTTAGAGTTGGCTTTTGATTGAAAATGACTAATAGCATGTTGACATAATTAAATTTTTTTCTTTTTTAATAAAATATATTGGTGCAACTGCAAGTGCTAACATAATTTGTTTTTGTTTTTTTTCAAAAGTTCATGGTGTTGGTTCTGGAACTTATTTCACGAATGCATAAAGTATGTTTTTGCTCCTCAGTAGCATCGAACAAATAGTGGTAAAGTCGTTGAGAAGTTAAATAAAACTTGAAGGGAAACTAATTTTATCATTTTCCGAATTCTCTAAACATGTTAATACATATTTACACATTTACAGCATCAAATTCACCTTCATTATTCAGAAGCACTTGCTGAATTACTCCCAATCGACATCAAAGAAGCCAGCATCTTTCATTTCTGAGTAGTATACATTCTCCAGATGCAAGTCGTCCTCCTGCACACACGATTTAGAACAGAGCCGGTAAGCTTTATACAGATATATTACAGTCCATGTAAAGATTTTGGATAAATATGTTTTAAGACTTCTGTCAGCGCTTTAAAGGTAAAGGATACGTATGGGAGGGGCATAAGTGAGAATGAATGATGAGAAAATGATACCTGCAAAAAGTCCGCTAGGAAAGTAATATACAGAAGAGGAAGGTACATGGCATGGTAACAGATGACCGTGATATTGTACAACCTGTAATGCAAAATGAGGATCTCTTAGTAAACTAAAAGTAGCTGAAGCATGCATCGATTTATATTAATTGGATACAACTGTTTGGATGTGATAGCAATGCATTTCTCTATTGTTTTTGTGTGAAGAGATTCATTAAACTTAAAGATGCAGAGAAGTACCATAAAAGTCACATCAGGTTTTTTAATCCCCCCCCCCCCCCCCCCTTTTC